TTAACTTTTCAATGGTATTCATAGTCTCTGCTTTAGATTTGTGTTTATTCTTGGGATTTTCATTTTCATCGATTATTAATTTGGGATCAAATGACTTATTCTTCAACTGCTTATTCAGTATTCTATGAACACAATTGAGGGCAATATTTCTAAATACTGGGCCACCATTTAGTGCCAATGAAAGTACAGTCAAATTTGATATTTGATTGTATTTATCTTTATTAACTCTAACAACGATTGCAGTTTCAAATGGATTTTCATTGCCAACAACAGCTATAATGCGTCCGATATTTAGTTTCCCTTTTTCGAGAGCTCTCTGACATATTGAAGGCATAACTACTTGCAAGCACTCGACATATTGGTCAAAGAGCCTACAAAAAGTATCTATATCTGCACATTGAGGGCATTGTTGAATGGCAAATGTCTCGATTTGCTGTCTCAACAAATCCAACTCTTTCATCACATCTGTTGATTGTTTGAGACGATTGTGTTCACCGAAAGAGCGCTCCAAAAACTTTTCAATATCTGTTTCGTCTGATTTGCAAGTTTTGTGTAAATTACAGATCATATGATAAGTAAGTCTGAACTGAGAGACCAACTGATTTGCCGACCCCTGAATCATACGAGTGAGACGGGGAGAGTCAGGGATGTCATACTTGCACAGAATGATAACAGTGCCGTTCAAGTCTTTGCCGCGACGGCCCGCACGACCGGCCATTTGGATGTACTCCGAAGGCAATAAATCCCTCCAATTGTTACCATCGTGTTTGTCAATCGAGTCAAAGACCACAGTGCGGGCCGGCATATTCACACCCATCGCAAATGTCTCGGTTGCCACCAATACTTTGATCAATCCCTCAGAAAACAAAATCTCTGTCAACTCTTTAAGGATTGGAAGCACTCCTGAGTGGTGGACACCTAATCCTCTTTTAAGCATTTCTACTGTTCTAACTATTTGTGGTAACTTTTGATCGCAAGGCTTAAGTCGTCTCAAGTGATACCAAACAAAGTTATGAATTCTGGCCTCTTCTGCCTTATTAATCAATCGGAATGAGTCGGAACTGATTGCCATCAGATTCTCAAGATTAGAGTCACATCTATTACGAGACAATGTAAATAAAATGGCCGGCAATTGATCCTTCTCTTCCAAATGTCGGATCAAATTTAAATAGATTTGTCGCTCAGTTTGAGGACATCTTTTAATAAAACCAAACTTTAGTTTATAGTCTCCAATAATTTGCTCGCATTTCTTGTAATTATCGTTAATAAAAAGTCCATTTTCATCAACAATCATATGTCTATCGTTCTTAGACTTGCCATCCCTTCCCATATATAGATAGTGTTGTAGAGGAACGGGTCGTTTCGAAGTGGACACCACATATGTCTTCTTGCGTCGCGTGCGTCCCAACCAATCGGCGAACTGAACCACATTTGGAACCGTTGCCGACAACAACACTAAACTGCACTCTTGTGGCAACAAAATGAACACTTCTTCCCAGACGTGACCCCTTTCGGGATCGTTCACGTAATGGCACTCATCAAACACCACATACTCTAACTTATCGATCACTTCCGACCTGTTGTACAACATTTGCAGCAATATTTCGGTCGTCATTATCAGACACTTGGAGTCGGTGTCGATCTGAACGTCGCCTTCAAGTGAATGCAATAATAATTTCAATACAATTAGACATTCAATACAATTGAGTGCTGACGTGAGTGGACAGACCTGTGAGAAGTCCTACATCTCCGAAGTCCTTCTTGAAGTCTCTGTACTTTTGATTAGAGAGTGCTTTAATAGGAGAGGTGTAGACGACGCGGGAGTGGGAGCGGAAGGCCATAGCGATGGCGTAGTCGGCGACCACAGTCTTGCCGGCGGAGGTGTGCGCCGACACCAACACATTTGAATGTCTCTCCAGATGTATAATCGCTTGCATTTGAAACCAATCCAACTTGAGCGGAAGGCCATAGCGATGGCGTAGTCGGCGACCACAGTCTTGCCGGCGGAGGTGTGCGCCGACACCAACACATTTGAATGTCTCTCCAGATGTATAATCGCTTGCATTTGAAACCAATCCAACTTAAAAGCAAACTCTTTGGCCGCTCTGTGGCCCACCTCTGCTTCAAACTCGTGGTCCATGTCTTTGTTTGGATCCAATACTACCACGTATTCGCTTTCCATTGTCTTCTCACTTCTTCCACTTCTCCCACTTCTTCGCACACTTAATGCTAATTATTTGAATACAATTTTGTTCAACAGTTTATCACTAAATACTTAAAAGTGTTTGAATTATAACTGAATTGTTAATCAAATGTTAATACAAACAATGTTTTGCTGTTTAACTGTAATAACAGTCAGTTTTGTGTCTCGAAAATAATGTCCACATTTGTGGCCAAAAGAGTCAACCATTGCTTACCCTATAATGCAATACATAATTCAATACAACTCTTATTGTATTCAATATTTGTCGTAATTTATGGCCATTTATTGGCAACAGATGTCAGAAGTAGTGATGATTTGATGGAAAGTTAGTCAAAATAGTCTCAAAATTGGTTACAATTTTCAAATCAAATGTCTTTTTATTTGAATAAATGTTTTGCTTTTGAATCAAAACAAAGAGTTATAACGAGAAGAATATTCAATACAAGACCTCATGGAAGACATGTGAGAAGATATACCACAGGAAGTGCTGTTTTGAATGATAGTTGTGTTGTTTACTCTCAATGTTTGCACATTTTTGGCAATTTGTCTCTCGAAGAATGGATGTATCGCAACATGTGTTTGAAGGGAAGCGCTGGAGTGATGTTGATGTGGAGGAATGGGCCGTCAGTTGTGGTGGGAAGACATCAGAACCCATGGCTGGAGACACGTGTGTCTGAGTGTGAGGGGCGGGCAGTGTGTGTCAGTCGGCGAAACAGTGGCGGCGGAACTGTTTATCACGATCTAAATAACCTCAACATTAGTTTCATTTCTCACAAAACACTTTATAATCGGTTCAAAAATTTAGTTTTTATTCAAAAGGTTTTGTTAAATAAGTTTAACATTGATTTGGAAATCACTGAAAGAGAGGATTTAGTGTTACGTCAAAGTGGACACAAGATATCGGGCACTGCCAGCAAAGTTGGCGCTCATAACTCTTACCATCACTTGACTCTTCTCATTGATGTCGATATGAATCAAATGAAACAATTGATTGCTAAACCATCGGTCAGTGCAATGGTATTGATTGCAATTCAATTATTATAATGTTTTAGTTGTCTTTGTATTCAATTTAAGGCTTTCATCACAAGTAAAGCGACCGAAAGTATTCGCTCAAAGACTGCAAACCTTAAGTCCGTTAATAAAGACATTGAATTGGAAGATGTGGTCAATGAGATGGCCATTGAATTCTGTAGACTTCATGTATAATAGATATAATTAGAGATAATATACTATCAATTGATCACTTGAGCACTTCCAGGGAAAAGACGTGAGTTCTGGTTATATGCAACTAATGGCTGACGAAACAAACTTTATTGGCCTCAAAGACATTGAGAGTACATTCAGGAGTTGGCAATGGATTTATGGAAAGACTCCCAGATTTACAGTTACTAAACAATTTGTTTGGAAAGGCATTGCTTTTAGTGTTGAACTACAGGTCTTTCATGGATTGATCGAAAAATTAAGTTTAACTAAATTTCACACTAACTTTGATTTAGAAGGAATTCCTTTTACTCAACACTCTGTTTCTCAACGTCTCAAACAAACTCTATCTCACTCTCAATCTAATTATTTTTTTGACAACTTTTTAAGCCATTGTATTATTGATTGTTTACAACAAACTCTTTGAGAGAGAGAGAGAGAGAGAGAGAATGTTTTTGGATAAGATTTAAAATTGAATTAATTGTTTAAAATTAGCACAACATGCGAAACATTAGATTCCAATGATTAGAAACACTCAGCGTTTAGTTTACAACATGTAGTGAACTATTATATAATTCAAAGTTAGCAGTGATTGCTAAACATTTGCTTTAATTAAACGCTGCAATCAATTATTAAATGGAAAATATTTTATACGATTAAAACACATCAAAGACTTGCGTACATTAATTAAACGGTTGATAATAAAAATATTTATAGACAAAAGTGATTGTATATAATATGTATTTATTATTATAAATTAAAATTATAAACACATAATTACAATTAAATATTTTGATTTCATTTTTTGATTATTTGTTTTTATTTAAATAGTTTAATGTAATTATTATATAAAATCTGTTTTGTAATGATATGTGAATCACATTAAGAAACAAATTGACTATAAAATTGTTTATTTTTTAAAACAATTTGTAGTTTTGTATTAATTGTTAAAATTGTTTTTGACATTTATTGAAAGTCAAAGCAAATAATTTAATAAAAATTGTTATCAAATTGAGATTTTATGAACATTACATTGCAGTACATTATTTACAAGGGCTTGGATTACAAACGATTCATTTGATATATAATCATAATTATTGCAAAATATAAAGTAAATGAAAATCTATTTAAAATAAATTTAGTATTAAATAAAATTAATTTTGTAAACATTGTAAAAGGAAATTAAATGGGAATGGATTAAAAGTAGTGATCAATTGTTTTAACACACAATAATAAATGGGTTGCTTTTATATTCATATTACTTATGAATTGTAAGTTATGATAGATATGTATATAATATAATCGATCGTTTCATCACTTCTACGATATTAATGTAGTAATTATTGTTCACAATATCTGATTAAATATATAAGGAAATACAGAATAGAAATGAAAGCACTGTAAGCACTAAAACCCTTCATATTTGCATTCAATCAATGGCTTATTTGTACTGCATTTACAAATATTCATCCATTTACTAAAAAACCTTTTAAGCAATTAAAATAATTATTAATTAATCTAAAGCCTTAAATATTGTGAAAAACTAAATACAATTGCAAGTAACTAGAGATGAAGTGTTGACTAATGAAGCGATCAATTGATGGTCTAATGGTAGGCATCATTCTTGAGAGAATACATGTCAATCAAGATCTCCTGAAGAAGAGAAGTGGCGTTATTTATTTTGCTGATAATATGGTCCACATCGGGCTCCATATCTTCAACCACACTATCGCCGGTCTCTTCGCATAAATCTTCACTTAATTCATCATTTTTAAGGCTTTGGCTAATTATTTTCGTACAACGATTCACATTAAGCTTAGACGCCCTTCCCTTTCGTCTTTGAGCTCTAGACTGTTGTCTTTCAGATTGACTTTCGGATGGAGGAGGAGGTGGTGGCTGTGGAGGCGCTCCACTACTCGGCACACATATAGACATATTATGCTCATCTGTTTGCTTATTCAGTGGATATGAGACAAGTGATGATTGTGGCAATTGTTCTGCAAAAACCGTATTCTTTGAGTCCATGGCTTGAATCAAAGGAGAAGTGCTTTTATTGCTCGAGAGATCCAGTGGTGTTGTATCAGAAGGCAATTGTCTGGACATTGTATTGGTTTGGTTATTGTGTTTCTCAACGGACTCGTGTGTATTAGTGGGACTGCTTTTGGATCGGGGTATTAGTGGTGAAAGTACACCTTTAATGTTTGCTCCAATTGGTACGGATTCAGGCCGAGCCAAATAACGGCTCTCATTGTTAGTTGATATCGATTGCGGCGATATATCAACGCCGGGAGAGTCTTGAGCTGAATGCCAGTCAAGTGTCAAGTGATGGGCTTTGGGCTGAGAATGCATTGCCAACAGTGTGTTAATGAGAGAGGGGTTGACAGCAATCTGTTCGAGAAGACACCGTGAATCAGGCGATTGTCTGGCGGCTAATTCACTGATTATTGCATTTTGTTGAACCATTTCTGCACTCGGAGTCATACCATATATTCTACAAACATCTTGATTCTCTGCCGCCACGTGTGCTAACAAGTGCTTTCCAAACACTTCCCGCGTTTCAGTGCAAAACTCACAAAAATTACATTTTAGTTTGTTATTCATATGGGATGGCGATTGAGTTTGACTTCTAGAGCTGGAATTGGGAGAATTGGACATGTTTTGGGCGCCGACCGACTCGTATAGTGAATGAGGTAATGAATTCAAACGATGTATTTGTGACATCGATTGTTGTCCTAAAAGCCCGCTGTGGAGAAGCGATGAATTTGGAGGATATATAAAAGGGAGTGTCATTGGCATCGATGCGGGTATTAATGGAGGAACGGGTGTTATGTTTAACAAATTTGGCGAAAGCGGTGAAGATATCATTGGTGTTGAAAGGGATGAATCCAAATGTTGAGACTTTTGTTGATTTTGACTATTTTTATTTGGTTTCGATTTCTTAGGTCTGGGTCCCCGTCGGGTGCCGTAAACATCGATAACAGGGTATGGGTTGGGAGTGCCGTCCAAATTGAGGACAGTTGCGGGTTTGTGCTGATATTTGCGGAGATGGAGTTTAAGACTGTGACAGTATTTTGTGGCATAACTACAGTCCGCACAACGATATTGATAGATATTTGAATGCGATTTCATGTGACTGTTAAGCATAGACTTATTAACGCAACTATAGTTACATTTGGCGCACTTGAATGGCTTCGACCCGAAGTGGTTCCGCAAATGGTATTCCAAGTGATGCTTATATTCGGTGACAAAAGAACATTTAGTACACGACAAGAGTTTCTCAGACTTGATGTGTGCCTTGGAGTGGCCCCAGAACTCCTGTTTACAAGTGGCCACAAACTCGCATTGTTTGCACTTATATTTCCTCGACTTAGAGTTGCCTCCACTCCCGTTAACGCTGGCATCAGTGCCATCGATGCTGTCGTCGCCGTCGAGTTCACTACTTTCTTTCAACACTCTATTACCGGCCCAACTGTCCGGAGGTATCTCTGAGTGAAAGTCTCTGATATGTCTCTTGAGTCGGCCTTCAGTACGTGATGTGTAGTCACAAAACGCACATTTGTGGTCAAAATGAGTGTTCATGTGTGCGTTGAACTGACACTTGGATGTCCCAGAATATGAACACAGATGACATCTATAGAGTTTGTCGCGGCAAAGACTTGAACGGCACTGTTATCATTCTGTGCAAGTATGACATCCCTGACTCTCCCCGTCTCACTCGTATGATTCAGGGGTCGGCAAATCAGTTGGTCTCTCAGTTCAGACTTACTTACCATATGATCTGTAATTTACACAAGACTTGCAAATCAGACGAAACAGATATTGAAAAGTTTTTGGAGCGCTCTTTCGGTGAACACAATCGTCTCAAACAATCAGCAGATGTGATGAAAGAGTTGGATTCGTTGAGACAGCAAATTGAGACCTTTGCCATTCAACAATGCCCTCAATGTTCAGATATAGATGGTTTTTGTGTGCTCTTTGACCAATATGTCGAGTGCTTGCAAGTAGTTATGCCTTCAATATGTCAGAGAGCTCTAGAAAAAGGGAAACTTAATATCGGACGCATTATAGCTGTTGTTGGCAATGAAAATCCATTTGAAACTGCAATTGTTGTTAGAGTTAATAAAGATAAATACAATCAAATATCAAATTTGACTGTACTTTCATTGGCACTAAATGGTGGCCCAGTATTTAGAAATATTGCCCTCAATTGTGTCGTATCTTATGACTTATTCGTCAACTTCTTATTCAGTAAACTAGGGTTTAATTATTAGCTACTTTTACTTTTAGGGTTCTTATTTGTGTTTAGATTTCGTCTCTGATACTTATGGTAACTTTTCAATTAAGAATTGTATTTAGAAAATAATTATTCAATTATGAACACAGAATATATTGATCCCAAAAGCAATTTACAAATCAGAGAATTAGATTTAGTCGAGAAGATTAACAGTTATGGCACTTTAGCCGTCAAATTATTGACCTTTGATTGCCTTAAATGTACAGAATTTGTTGAACACTTTTCAAAAGTCAGGCATAGGATCTCTATTGAGAAACAGATGGATTGTTTGGAATTCAGACTCTCTTCACAAAGTTTGCAATTTTTACCCGAATATTACACTCGAATCCAAGTTTTGCAAAGTATTGAATATTTAAATCAACATTTGGTACTCGAACTCAAAGGAAGAATTGCATGTCTTATGTCTGAACACGAATTGCTAATAACGGAAATGTTGGCAAACAATGTGATCGGAGATCTCGATCCCTCACAAATAGCAGCACTTCTCTCATGTTTTGTATTTCAACAAAAGACTCATCAAAACGACAGCCAAACGCTGACATTTAGTACTCAATTAGAAGAGGTATTTATCAATATATTTGTTTATTTAATAAATTGATCAATGTGATTGTGATTCTAATGTGATTCTAATATTTGCATTACAAATAGAAAAGACAAGAATTGATTCGTAACCTCCGTGTTTAATCACCGTAACTCTCCGTTATATTTCACGGCGGCGTTTGGTATTCACTTCTTGACTTTATACTAAACCAACTTCGTCACATACTCACCCGGTTGCCTTTCCATGCGAAAAGTTGGGCTTTTACTTGATTTACAATTATTGTGTAATTGTTTGTTTTGGTTATGTTTCAGTCATTTGCAGAAGTGTTGGACATAACTCCAGTTCAGGAGGGAATCATTGTTCGCTGTATTCAACGACTGGACGAACTTCTAAAGTACATAAAAATGGCGGCCAATAAGATGGGCAACAAAGAGCTCGAAGAGAAGGTTGAGTTGTCTTCTAAAGCGATTCGAAGAGATATAGTCTTTTGCCAAAGTCTTTATACATTAACTGATTCTCAATCAAGTGATGAGAAAAATAACGACATGTTTGATGAATATCTTAATTCAAATTATTTATAAATTATGGATCAAATTATTGAAATCATTGTAACAACGATTTATAGACTTCTAAATTGATGACAACATTTTTAATAATGTTTTATATTTACTTTATTACTTATGCATTGGAATCATATTTGTATGAAATATAAAATCATGATATATTGAATTGTTTTACTTTATTTAAAAGTAGTTAAATGTAATAATTGTTTTCCTATTTCTATAATAATAATTATAATATTTACGGAATGTATAGCTCAAAGTCCATTCAAACTAAAAAACATATCCTTTATTTTAAGACTATTGTGTATTTTTATATCAAAATTAATATATTTCAGTCTATTATGATATATAATTAGATCAAAAATATATTTATGGACACAAGTTGTTATATTATGCGATTTTTAAGTAAATAAAATGTTTATTAAATAAATTGTATGAATTTAGTTATAAAGTGAAATGTTATCATATTTTGTCTTATCTTTTATAAATTATAACCATTGACTACAATATCGTTAATAGCTTTTACTCTATTGAAGCAAAAACCTAATATTTAGTTAATGTAAAGAAATGCATTTGAAGTGAATGTGTAGTTATTTTTTACTACTATTAGTTTGTTATCTCTATAATTGTGTTAATTTGTCTTGAATTACAAATTAAATTGAATTTTATATAAGTTACAAAGTGAGAGAATAATACTAACGATGTCGAGTTTAGTTAAACTGGTGCCTGTGGTCAGTCATTTATTTATTCATTAACATATCATTTTGTCTATTAATTTATTATTTTCATATTTCTCAACAGAATCGGCTTAAATACTTGAGTTTGTATTCAATACTATACTTGACATCATTTAAATATTATTAATGTTGATTTAATTTTAGCAAAAATCAATTTTGTCCAAATTGATGACTTTGTATTTCGATTACACTATAGATTCACATTTATTGGTCTTCTTGTCTGCAGGTTTTGCATTAATTTAATATATTTAATAATTATAAATTATTTTCTAACAATAACTAAGAAAGCATTGACCAGCTAGTTTACGTTTAAAAATAATAGTAATAACAAAATTACATGCAACTAAACTTTTAACATATTACGTGTTTAGCGTTTTATTGACTGCCGAACAACTGTTTGGAAAACCTATTAAATGCATAAAAGGTATGAATTATTTTCATTATATTTTGATAAAACTTGAGATTTAATAAATTTAAATATACAAAATATTATATCACAAGTAGACAACTCTATTGTTAGTTTCCAAATAAACAAATTACTAGAACCACAAAATGATCAAATGAACGAGAATTTGAATTTAATGAATAAGAATTTCGAAATATTATTTAAACAATTGATTCAATGGTTTATTCTTGAATGTTAGGCGCGGGAGAAGATGTTAATCAAAGAATTCTTGAGACTTTTTGTTGGGTGAGTATGAATAACATACTAATGTGACTGTTATGACATGATTGAATTGATTAGGTTGAAGGCACTTTTACTCTTCCTAAAGCCCTAATTAAAGGTACAGTTTAATAAATGTGCAAAATATGAATTAATGAATATTGCATTTCTAATTGGTAGCCATTGATAAAGAAGTTCCGGCTCCGGGTATCGAACAATTCTATGAAAAGGATGAAGTTCTCGAACATTCTTACTATCAATGGGTTAACTCATATTTAAAAGATAATATTTTACAAATATTTACAAATATCCATTTATATTATTTAATTGTTAGGTTTGTGTAGTTTTATTCCTTCAATCGGTCTGTTTTTATATAACAAGAGCCCTTTGGAAGGGATGGGAAAGAGGTTTGCCGTTTTATAAACCAAATTGATTTTAACTCATTGAGTATTTTAGGAAAAATCAAACATTTAATAAATGACTTAAACAAAGTGATCCTCAAAGAAGAGGCAAAAATTAGTAAATGTGATACTTTGGTCACTCAATTGGTCGACAGTCAGGGCAAGAATAATGCCTACGCTTTTCGCTATTTTATTTGCGAAGTCCTCAACTTTTTTAATGTCATAATACAAATGGAAAGTCATTAAAATAACCATTTAATGCATTAAAAGCAGTATTACTTTATTTATTATTTGTATTTTTAAACAGATTTTCATCAATTGGTTTCTTGGAGGAGAGTTTTCAAGATATGGAATAAATGTATTCAATTATATTGACCGTGATCCAAATCAATCAGAAGATCCCATGGCCAGAGTTTTTCCAAAACTAACCAAGTGCACATTCAGACAATATGGCCCTTCTGGTGATATTAAACGGTAATACAACGGTGTAGTGACTACACTGTATACAATATAATATATTATATCATATTTGGTACATAAGATATATTAATACAGTATAATTTAATTAGATTAATCTATATATAATATAAATATGATTATATGTTAACATTAAAATTTAAGTAAATAATATAGAAATGTTATATCAATATACAGTGCAACCTCTCCATAAGAAACGGGCAGATGCATAGCCAAAGTGTTTCTTATAGAGAGGGTTTCTTCAAGGGAGGTTCGAGT